CTCTCCATCCCTTCCTTTCTCCAAGTTTATGATGTGTGTGTGTGGCTTCCTCCCTGCCTCCCTCCCTTCAGAATCCTTTGCTCTCTGTCTGATAGCAGAGCAAAATTGCTGTAAAGAGCTTCAAACCCCACCTTCAGCTCTGATGTCCTGTGCTCAAACAGACCTCTAAGAAGTGCCTTCCATGAGTGACTAACCCTGATGCATTATAGGAAAGTCCTCCTTTTGTTTACTGCTTGAGAGTAATCATTACAACTAGTTTAATAAAAAGCCCACTGTGTTACCTCTGCTCTGGTTTGGGAATATCACTGCTTAATAATAATTATATTCTAACAGTGAATATTTATTAAGCACTTACTGTGATTCAGACAGGGCTCAGTGCTTTCTGTACATTATCTCATTAAGTCTTCATAACTACCCTGTGAGACATACCATTATTTATCCCTGAGGTACTAGAAGCTGAGGCATGAAAAATCATTTGATATGGCCAAGGTCACAGAGGACAGCGCAAGCCGAGATCTTATCCACGCTTTTATATCTCTCTACAGACATGTTATTCATAAAGCTAGTGGCCTATCTGAACAGCTCCTTTTTTGAAAGCACGTATTTGAGAATCTTAGAACACCTTGCCCTGTTTTAACCGTCCGTGCTTGTGGCTGACAAACATTCATTGAGCAATTCTGTGTCCCAGGCATTTTGCAAGGCACTGGGTGGGGGTAGACTCAGGAATGACATGGTCCCATCATATAACAGTCATACAGTGTGATGACGATGGGGGGCAGCTTGGTGAGGAGACCCCAGCAGGGAGAGGGGCAGGCGGCAGGTCCTTCACGGTAGGCTTCTCCCACCCCAGTGGCTCCTGGTCCTCTCTTCCTGAGAAGCATGGGTTGGAGGAGGAGGGCCAGGCCAGGTGCCTTTGACGCTTCATCACATTATACAAACAAACCTTGAAGAAAGTATTGGGCAGCTCCATGGGATGATTATAACCCTTATAAGAATTCCTCTATCTTCAGGGGCTCCTGGGTGGCTCAGTCAGTTAAGAGTCTGACTCTTGATCTCGGCTCAGGTCATGAGCTCACGGTTCTTGAGATGGAGCCTCCGAGTCCGGCTCTGTGCTGGCAGTACGGATTCTGCCTCCCTCTCTCTCTCTGTCTCTCTCTCACTCACTCACTCAAAATTAAATAAACTTAAAAAAAAAAAAAGAATTTTTCTATCTTCAGGTTCTTACAGAGTAGAGTAGCTTTTCTTTTGCATTGTTGTTATCAACAGAGGCAGGCAAAAAATGAATCTTAGTTACTGTAATGTGAGTCAGATTATTCCATTATCTACAAGAGAAGATCCATATATTTATTTATTTTATTTTTATTTATTTATTTATTTATTTTTTTAATTTTTTTTTTCAACGTTTATTTATTTTTGGGACAGAGAGAGACAGAGCATGAACGGGGGAGGGGCAGAGAGAGGGGGAGACACAGAATCGGAAACAGGCTCCAGGCTCCGAGCCATCAGCCCAGAGCCTGACGCGGGGCTCGAACTCACGGACGGTGAGATCGTGACCTGGTTGAAGTCGGACGCTTAACCGACTGCGCCACCCAGGCGCCCCAAGATCCATATATTTAAATGAAATATAACTTGTGGGTGGCTTAGAAGGATCAAAGTTTTATATGTTTATGTGGCCTCATTGCTCTCTTTTCACCTTAGACCTACCTACCTATTTATTGCCCACATGCCATTGCAAATCTAGCCTCTCAAGATTGTCTCTTTTCCCTACCCTTTTGAGGCTACAAGAGAAAAGCACATCACGTACTGTTTTGTGCTGGCATTAGTTATTTGAAGTCCTACAAATGACGTTGAATCTGCCTGGGTGAGACAAACTGAGAGCAGACACGGTCTTCCAGGCCTCTGCTACTCAGAGAGGACCAACAGTACCTGGGAGCGTGTTAGAAAGGCAGGCCCAGGGGAGCCTGGCTGGCTTGGTCAGAAGAGCACGCAACTCTTGATCTCGGGGTCATGAGTTCGAGCCCCACGTTGGATGTAGAGATTACTAAAACAATAAATAAACTTAAAAAAAAAATTAGAGGAAATGCAGGTTCAGGGACCAGAATCTGCATTGTAACAAGGTCCCGGGTGATTCACAAGTATATTAGAGTTTCTGAAGCCCTGGCCTAGGCCGCCCTACACCAACCATATTTTTCCCTGGGTGTGAAGCATCCAAAGGATGGCCTTTGTTCTTCTCAGTTCTGCAGTTGCTGGGGGCACACATCTGTCAGTAACAGCAAACACTTTGTGCTTCGGCCCTGCGTGTTCCTGTGACACCTACCAGTGTTCACCAGTTAGCTCTTGTGCTCGATTAAACCCTCAAAAATGTATTCCAGTAAGTTTGGGGGTCAAGTTTAACATTTGTCGAAAACAGGTTAAGTTGGGAATGAACTACAATGAATGGCACAATATATACCTTTTGATACCATTTGATACCTTCTGACATATGTGTATGCCAGTGAGGCTATCACCATGATCAAGGTAATAAACAGGAATCCTCCAACACCTTAAAGTTTCCATGTGCCACTTTGCATCTTTCCTTCACCCCCAGGTGACCACTAATCTGCTTTCTGTCATCATTGATAGGCAAGTTTGTGTTCCTGAACACATGATTCTGAATGGAATCATACAGCATGGCCTCTTTTGTTTAGCTTCTTTTTTTTTTTTTTTTAACTGTTTTCTTTTTTAAAAAAATATTTATTTTGAGAGAGCGAGAGTGCGCACATGTGTGCACACACACTGCAAACGAGCGAGGCAGGGGCAGAGAGAGAGGGGAGAGAGAATCCCAAGCAGGCTCCGCACTGTCAGTATAAAGCCCTATGTGGGGCTCCAGCTCACAAACCATGAGACCGTGACCTGAGCCAAAATCAAGAATCAGATAGTTAACCGACTGAGCTACCCAGGCTCCCCTGCCTGGCTTCTTTTAGCATAATTATTTTGAGACTCCTCATGAGTAGTAGTACATGTATGAGTTCTGTTGCTGAGTAGTATTCCATCCTATGAATATAGCACAGTTTGTTTATCTGTATACTTGTTGATAAAATTTTGGGTTTCCAGCTTTGGACTCTTTACAAATAGGGCTGCCATGAACATTTGTGTACAAATCTCTGTGTGATTAACTGCTTTCTTTTCCCTTGGTAAATAAATATCTAGGAATGAAATACCCAAGTCGTATGGGCCATGTATATTTATCTTTTTAAGAAACTACCAATTGTTATGCCATATCATACCCCCCACCAGCAGTATGGGAGGGCTTCAGTTCCTTTACATTTTCCAGCGCTTGGTATTGTCTTTTTGTTTGTACCCATTTTGGTAGGAGTGATGAGGTATCTCCGAGTGGGTTTTAACTTGCCTGCTACTAATAAGCATCTTTTTGCATGCTTATTTGCTATTTATATATGTTGTTCGAAGTGGCTATTGAAATCATTAATTGAGTTGTATGTCATTATTGAGTGAGAGTTCTTTATGTATTCTGGATTAAGCTCCTTTATCAGATAGATGGCTTGACAATACTTCTTCCAATGTGAGCTGTTTTTCTTTCAATATTGTCGTTTAAGGAGCAAAAGTTTTTGTGGTTTTGATGAAGTCCAGGTTGTCAGTTTTCTTCTCTTACGGATTGTGCTTGTGGTGTCATGTCCAAGAAATATTTGCCTAAACCAAGGTCATAAAGGATTTCTCTTATGTCTTCTAGAAGTGTTAGAATTTTAAATTAGGTTTTACATTTACACCCACAATCCACTTTAAATTAATTTTTTTACATGGTGCGTGTAGGCTGGAAGTTTTTGTTTGTTTTGGCATATCTATGTCCAGCTGTTCGGCATCGTTAGCTGAAAGATTGTCCTTCCTCTCCTGAATCTCCTTTGGGCCTGTGTTGAAAATCACTTGTCCACATATACGTAAATAAGCCTCTTGGCCTGTCCAGGGCCTGGCAGCAGGGGAGACCACCGGTGAAAGCAGCAAGCACTCTGGGTTCTTAGATGGCCAGGGTGATGGCTGTCTGGCTGTGGAGGCTGGACTCAGGCTTGGGGTCTTTAAAGACCCCAAGTCCACTGTTGCCCTGGGAGTCCTGCAACAGTGGACTTCACGAGTTTCCCTGCTATCCTTGGGCGAGTTGAGGAAATCATCCCTGAAAATCAATTTGGTAGGGTTTAATTCTCTCAGTGTCCTTTGCTGAGCAAGGCTGGATAGTACATGGCAAGTACCCTTGTAGATACATAGGAGAGGCATTCATTATGTACGGTGGCTGCCTTAAGACATCGGGGCTTACTCGTCTCCTGCAATCTGCTTGAGAAGGGCCGCTGGACCAACGGGAGACGGTGACTTTAGAAACCTGGGCAAGCCCATCACGTCACGGAATCCACAGTTGCACAGGCCCCGGGACAGTTCTGGGCCAGCCCTTTTCCGGTCTGAGATAAGATGTCATTCCAGACGGTGGTAGAGTTGCAGCAGACCCCAGTTCTCCTGTGCGTATGTACCACTGTGCACCTCGGGAGCCATCTGGAGTGGAGACGCCTGTTCTCCTAGAGGCTGTGGACTGGAAGACATGCCGCTGCCTTCTGGAGCTGCTGTGGGCAGGAGTCCTTATGCCTTCCTGAGAGCAGACGGAGGCCCGGGTCAGTGAGGTGACCTCAGGGGCTTCTCTAGTCCTTGTGGCGTCTCCCGCCCCCAGCAGCACTGTTGCCCCTCAGGCCCTGTGTGCAGGAAGTGCAGCACCGGAGTCCTGCAGGAAGCTGACGCCTTCCAGGTCCAGGCCGAGCCTCTCTTAGGAAGCAGGAAGAGCGAGCTCTTTTGGCACAGGGGTGCAGGTTTGTGTTAGCTGTGCGTTCCCAGACCAACAGAGTGAATAGGGGCGAGGGCGGTGCTTTCTCGAGTGCTTCCAAGATTGACCTTGGCACCTCCGTGTGACCGAGACCTGGGTTTCATGTAGTAAACCGGAACACCCTAACACAGTGTTTGTTTTCCAGGCGCTCCTAGCAGGCATGCGGAACCGGGAGAACTGCTCGCCCTGCCAGGGCAACGGAGAGCAGGCCAGCAGGGGCAAGAACCTGGGCTCCGCGTGGCCCGGCGAGGAGGAGCCCTGCGGCGAGGTGACCACCCCCTCTTACAAGAAGCCTCTGTATGGCATCTCGCACAAGATCATGGAGAAGAAGAACCCTCCCGCCGGGGACATGCTCAACACGTACGAGCTCTTCGAGAAGGCAAACTCCAGCAACAGCCCCTCGCCGCTGCGGCTCCTGAACGAGCCGCAGAAGCGGGACTGTGGCAGCGCCGCAGCGGCCACCGACGGTGACCCCAACATCTACTTTCTGATCCAGAAGATGTTCTACATGCTCAACACGCTGTCCTCCAACATGTCCCAGCTGCACAGCAAGGTGGACCTGCTCTCCCTGGAGGTGAGCCGCATCAAGAAGCAGGTGAGCCCCACCGAGATGGTGGCCAAGTTCCAGCCGCCCCCGGAGTACCAGCTCACGGCGGCCGAGCTCAAGCAGATCGTGGACCAGAGCCTGTCGGGCGGTGACCTCGCCTGCCGCCTGCTGGTGCAGCTCTTCCCTGAGCTGTTCAGCGACGTGGACTTCTCCCGCGGCTGCAGTGCCTGCGGCTTCGCGGCCAAGCGGAAGCTGGAGTCGCTGCACCTGCAGCTCATCCGCAACTACGTGGAGGTCTACTACCCCTCGGTGAAGGACACGGCCGTGTGGCAGGCCGAGTGTCTGCCCCAGCTGAACGACTTCTTCAGCCGCTTCTGGGCGCAGCGGGAGATGGAGGACAGCCAGCCCGGCGGCCAGGTCCCCGGCTTCTTTGAGGCCGAGCAGGTGGATGCCGGCCACTTCCTGGACAACAAGGACCAGGAGGAGGCCCTGTCCCTGGACCGGAGCAGCACCATCGCCTCCGACCACGTGGTGGACACGCAGGACCTCACCGAGTTCCTGGACGAAGCATCGTCCCCCGGCGAGTTTGCCGTCTTCCTTCTCCACCGGCTCTTCCCCGAGCTCTTCGACCACCGGAAGCTGGGCGAGCAGTACAGCTGCTACGGGGACGGCGGCAAGCAGGAGCTGGACCCGCAGAGGCTGCAGATCATCCGCAACTACACGGAGATCTATTTCCCCGACATGCAGGAGGAGGAGGCCTGGCTGCAGCAGTGCGCCCAGCGCCTCAACGACGAGCTCGAGGGCCTGGCGCTGGACGGGGGCAGCGAGGGCGAGCCCGCGCGGGACGACTGCTACGACTCCTCCAGCCTGCCGGACGACATCTCCGTGGTCAAGGTGGAAGACAGCTTCGAGGGCGAGCGGCCCGGCCGGCGCTCCAAGAAGATCTGGCTGGTGCCCATCGACTTCGACAAGCTGGAGATCCCGCAGCCCGACTTCGAGGTGCCGGGCGCCGACTGCCTGCTCAGCAAGGAGCAGCTGCGCAGCATCTACGAGAGCAGCCTGTCCATCGGCAACTTCGCCTCGCGCCTGCTGGTGCACCTCTTCCCCGAGCTCTTCACGCACGAGAACCTGCGAAAGCAGTACAACTGCAGTGGCTCGCTGGGCAAGAAGCAGCTGGACCCGTCGCGCATCAAGCTCATCCGCCACTACGTGCAGCTGCTCTACCCCCGCGCCAAGAACGATCGCGTGTGGACGCTGGAGTTCGTGGGCAAGCTGGACGAGCGCTGCCGGCGCCGGGACACGGAGCAGCGGCGCTCCTACCAGCAGCAGCGCAAGGTGCACGTGCCGGGCCCCGAGTGCAGGGACCTGGCGAGCTATGCAATCAACCCCGAGAGGTTCCGAGAGGAGTTTGAGGGTCCCCCGCTGCCGCCTGAGAGAAGCAGCAAGGACTTCTGCAAGATCCCCCTGGACGAGCTGGTGGTCCCCTCGCCCGACTTCCCGGTGCCTTCACCGTACCTGCTGTCGGACAAGGAGGTGCGTGAGATCGTGCAGCAGAGCCTCTCCGTGGGCAACTTCGCCGCCCGGCTCCTGGTCAGGCTCTTTCCGGAACTCTTCACCGCCGAGAACCTCCGGCTGCAGTACAACCACTCCGGCGCCTGCAACAAGAAGCAGCTGGATCCGACGCGGCTGCGGCTCATCCGGCATTACGTGGAGGCCGTCTACCCGGTGGAGAAGATGGAGGAGGTGTGGCACTACGAGTGTATCCCCAGCATCGACGAGCGATGCCGCCGCCCCAACAGGAAAAAGTGCGACATCCTGAAGAAAGCCAAGAAAGTGGAGAAGTGACGGGCGCCCCGGGGACTGAGCGTTCTTTTGGAGCAGTGAATGGTATCCACAGACACGCACCTTATGTCAGTGGGGAGTGGCTTACTACATTTGCACACGTGAACACCACCCAACCACAGGAAAGAAGCCTTGCGTTCGGTCTCTCCTGCTCACGACTTTTGTCCTGTGCCCCAGTGGTGCCGCAGGAGTTGGGGAGAGCTGAGCCGTGAGAGTAGAGAGGCCTCAGGAGTGGTCCTCTCCTGGGCTGTGTCCCCCCACCCCCCTGCAATTTCAGATGCATATTTAGCAACTCTCTTGTTCCTCTGCCCACATTTTACATCTTCCATTTTTATCAAAAAATTTTTTTAATTAAAAAGAAACCCTTTTTTAAAAAAAAAATCATTGGGCTCTTTGGGGGCCATTTTACTTAGAAAAAATATCTTTTAAATATTTGAGATGAAGTACTGTAAGATGACTTCAGTTGCTGGGATTTTTTTTTTTTTTAAGATGTTTCAGATTTATGAAATTTTTATAAGTGCCATGTTCATGCATGATGGCCAATAATAGCTTCAGGTGGCACAGAGACCAATTTTCCTGACCTTGTCTTTTACATCTGATTTTAGAAGGATCAAGATGCCCCCTGGATGGCAGTAGAAGGGATGGAATAGTGTGATGTCCTTTCCCACCATGGTCGCGTTCTCCCTTCCACTGTGGTGCTGAGGAAGGGGCCTCACGCGGCCTGGCCTGTTTGTAGTTGCCATGTGGGTAGAATGTCGTGCTCACTCTCTGTAGACGAGAACACTGGATGATGATGATGATGATGATGATGATGATGATATGAATGTAGATAGACGTGGAAACACGTACACAATGTCATTTGAGCTGTGTCCTTCCACTGCCCCCTTCCCTCTCTACACAAGGATGCTGTTTGGAGGGGCAGAAACATTTCCTTGGAAAACAGTCTGTGTGGGTGTTTAGCTTCTTGTTTGATTTAAGGATGGGCCCCTTTGGGCTCACCAAAGCTGTTTACTTTCCGTGTATGTATCTGTGTGACACCCAGGTTCTGGGAGCTGTCTGGTGGTCTCACCACACCTCAGTGTTAGCCCCTCCGGTCGGTAGCACATCCTTGTTCCTCAGGGCAAGCCCAGGCCTCGGGCCCTCTTGGGGATATTTGGCATTGGAAGGTCACAGGTCATTCAAATGGGGCTTCCCCTGTCCCTTGCCAGAGTCCACTCAGTTGTCCCCTCGGACCCCCTAGGAGCTCTGCCGCCCTACACCTGGCCAGTCACTTGGCCTCGGAGTAAGACATCTCCTCTCCTCACTGGTTGGGAAGGCCAGACTGCTCCGGGCCAGTGGCATACTCTCCAGGACTACCAATCGGGAAATTCCCCAGCACGTAAAGTCCTGAAAAACAATACCTTTACCTACCTGACTTTGGGGTCCCAATCCCTACGAGGGAAAGGAGACAGTGTAACCCAAGCTGAATACATCCTACCAGAAACTCGGAAAATGAACTGAATCACACAGGGTAGTCCTAAAACCCTTGTGGGATGTTGCTGATTGAATAGCCTAGTGGCTTAATGTTTTGCTACCTTAAAATGCAGAAGTAATCGAAACAATCTGTGAATTTTCTTTATACAACCGATAAGGACTTCAGTTCCCCGGTGGCTATTTGACATAATTTTGCCTACACCCAGAGGGCTTTGTTTTTTTTTTTTTTTTAATGACAAGATTTTGAGCAATGTAAAGTTGCTGATCTAACTTTAGTAAATTCGCTTTTAAATGTCACTTACAGATTATTTCTGTTGAAACTGCAGCCCTAAATTATTGCAATTTAGAAATGCACAGGGACTTAAGGACTCTCTCACCTACACCCACACCCACCCACACGTGCACATACATTTTCTTCCTACGAAACAACTTAAGTGGGATGAAGGGGGCCTATAGGAATAACAAGCTCAGCCTCTTTGTGCCTGGAAAGAAGGGACTAGAGCATCCAGGAAACTCACTTTTTCCTCCTCACTTGGGCCTTTCTCTATGCCTTAGTCTCTCCAACACACACGTGCGCGTGTGCGCGTGCACGCGCCCTACCCAAAGATGGCGGTGGCGCTCTCGCCCGCCAGCCCTGTTGGTTGGAGAGTGCCATGGAATTTGTTCTGGTCTCTAGGATGTGTCCAAGAGGATTCCAAGCCATGCGAAAATTGCCCTGCTTTCTAGAGGGTGGACTCTGACCCTGCAACTTCAGAAGCACAATCATTTATTAATAACGCAAAGTCCTATCTACCCACGTTGGAGAAATCAACAGGTTCTAGGAATGAAATGTGTTTCTTTACAGCCTAGAGCATGTTCAGTTTTTGGAAGCTGTTATTTTGGTGGTTTCCTTAATACCTTTCCTGCGTAGGGCTTCTCCTCCCCACCCCACCCCACCCCACCCCACCCCACCCCCCCCCACCCCACCCCCGCCCCAAATCTTAGAGTCCCTTTTAGAGAAGAGAGGTGGATGCACTCTGGGAAGTCGTTTCCTGTCCCTCTGGACTGTCTCACCAGGAAACACCTGCAGGTGTCTGTCTGTATGGTGGCCTCAGTTCTCCAGCCATACAGGTGGGCTCCAAGGCTCCAGGGCAGTTTTTTACACGAAGCAATAGAAGTACAAAATACTTAACTTTTTTCAAAATTTAATGTTTTCCATAAAATGTGTTGGTAAACCCCGTCCCCCTCCCCATCTAAATTCATGGGTTTTTACTTGTTTTGGGGTTATTTTTTTCTTCGTATCTGGAGAACTAAAGAATTAGCACGGACACATTCTGATGGTAAGTAAAATAGCCAGTCACAGTAGGTGGTAGTGTCCCTCGTTTTCTCTGTTAGTAAGTTTTAAAAGAATGTATGAAGGTAGTCATGAATGTACTGTTCTAATCCTGCTTCAGTTCACTTTGGCTGTGTCTACATGACAACAAATGTTTGACAGGGAATAAAGTTGTCTAGTGTCATGGGCAAAAGTGTGCCCCTCCCCCTTCAGCGTTGGCCCCAAATCTTCCTTTCTCCTTAAGTTTGGGTGGAGGGGGTGCCGCATCAGCAGCAATCATCAACCAACCAATGGGATCTACTTAGTGGTGAAAGGATTAGCTGTTTCAATGGTAAGAGTCACTGGCCTGACCACACACCGCAGCATGGCCGCTTGCGTTCCTACAGAGATGGCCTCAGGTTCCCCCCCTTTCCCCCCCCCCCCCCCACAATGTTTGCTTCTTGTCTGATTGGGATGGGGTCCTGAGACCCCCGGTGAGAAGTCACTGCGACCTCTCACCCTGCCTGGCTGTGTGGGGAGCGGCGTGCGGTGGACGTGGGGGCCAAGGGGCTGTTCCTGCCGTTTGGAAATACTTGCCTCGTGTAGATCCAGCCTTAATGTTTTTCTGACATCCTAGTGATAGCAGACCCTGCACAAAGTGGATATCAGAGTTAATACTGTGAGGAGACAAAATAATGGGAATAGTTTTACCAAAGATAATGAAATACCACATAATGTCTGCATTTTACCATTGATTTGAGTGCATCCTTAGAAAACTGAATGTAACAAAAACCCAGGACATTTTTGGAAATTGTATGCTCTCTAGCAACTGTGTGTGAATTTTTATACAAGCACTGTTTTATGAGTTATATAAAATGTTATAAAACTAGAAAAAAATATGGTGTTTGCAACATCTTGTTTTCTTAGGGCACAGGTCTGCCTTAACCTGTGTCCGTTGGTTTGTTGGTTTGTCTTCCCCCCTCCCAGGGGAGGGCGTGACCGCTCAGGGGGGATCCCAGCCTCTGGGGCTGCCACCCTGCCTGTAGGGCTGTAGCCCACAGAGGATTGCAGTTGGCCACCGCTGAATGAGAGGTCGCCAAATAAGTCCTAGCCCTTTTCTACACAAACCACTTCCTGGCCACATAGTGGGAGGTACATTTGACCTTTTCATACCTTTCCTGGTCAGGTGCCAGACCAGCCCTGCTGCCAAGGTAGCAGAGCTTCACGGCACTTTTTTTTTTTTTTTTTTTGGATCAAATGGGATTTAGTTCCTCAAAACTAATATGATTACCTGATAACAAAAGGAAGGATGCGTGTTGCCTCTCACCTCTTCTGTTTGGCTAATGACAAATTACTAACTTTAATATTCGTAGTAAAAATAGTATCTCAAGCTGTCAGAGAAACGTTTTTGGCCCAGGGGTCACAAAGATACAAAGGAATTTGTGGCTTGTGATTGGAACACTTTTCCTACAGCCGCTGTGTGCTCAGTTGTGAATCCTGACGTGTGTGTGTGTGTGTGTGTGTGTGTGTAAGCCTCCTCAGCAGGCTAGGGTGGGTCAGGGGCTGGAGTAGCAAGTTTAAGCAAGACGTGAAGGAAGACTAAATTCTTTCATTCTGGCTGTAGGTATGTTCGTTTTCTACCAAAAAGAAAAAGTCACAGAATTTCAATATATGGGAGCTTACTTACCAAATCTAGTTCTCAGAGGTAAGAACTGCACACTAAATTATTACGATCACTGGAATGGTGAGGTGCAATCGACGCTCAGGGAGCTTCTAAGTGAGTTACCGCCCCCCACCCCCCTCCGGCCAGTGGTGGGAAAGGAATGAACATTCACTGCCTACTCGCTGTAATGGCACCTAACGTTCACTGAGTATAAGCCACATGCCAGGCACACCAAGAACCGTACCTTATGATCCTCTCGAAAACCCTGTGAGGTAAGTCCCATAATTGTGCCTGTTAAGAAAGGTATGGCCCTGAATGGTGTACATACTATCTCATTTGATTCTCACAAAAACTCAGTGTCTTGAGCACTGTTATTATCTGTTTTGTGCTAAGGAAGCAGAAAGAAGTATGTTTCTTGCCCAAGTTCACACAGCTGGCAGATGGCGGTGTCAGGGTTTAAACCCGTATGTCCATTCCTACGATACCACACCATCCTGGGTACTAAAGCATCCCTGGGTCACAACACACAAAGATTCAGATCCAAAAACAAATGCAAGTCAGTGGTGTCCTTTATCACCCACATCCTCTAAGCCCCAATTTGATCTTAGATATGGGTGTGCTGGTTTTAGAATTGCCGTGTGTGAAGTCACTGGCGATTGTGGAGACCCCTGTTCTGGTAATAGGGAGCAAATTTGGGGAGAATTTGTGAAAGTAATTGCCGAGGGTCAGGTTCTCTAGGGGCGGAGCCTGAGGGCATCCCTGAGAGATTGGTTGTGGGTGTGCCCTCAGGAGAAGGGGCGGGGGGGGGGGCAGGGAAGGCCAGGAGCAAGAGTGTCGTCTCCACTGCAGTCCAGTTTCATCCCCATACAGGGAAGACCTAGAATATGGGTTATTTGGCGTAATTAGACCCGGCTGAGGCAGAGGGGCTGGCTGGTTATTGTCAGAGGTGTTTCCCAGGGAAAAGGGTAGCTTGCCCAGTAGGATGGCCAAGGGCCCGCTCCAGAAGGGCTGCCGTGAGCGGTTAGCTGGCCCTCAGCGGCTAGGGGTTGGATGCACTGGTAAGGGATCTGGGTAATATTCTATCAGCATCGGGTAGAGTCAGAACCAGCAGAGGGCATGTCAAACCAGATCAGTGGGCTCCATCCCCAGGGATTCTGCCGCAGCAGGTCTGGATGGCGCCCAAGCATTTGCATTTCTAATAAGTTCCCAGGTGATGCTGGTCCTGCTGGTCCACGGCACACCCAGAACTGCGCTAGTGACCTCACAAAACATGCTGTGAATATCAAGGAAGCCGAAGGCTTAGCACTTTCCTGATCATTAGAAATAGATCTGAGCTGAAATAAGTGGTTTCCTGTTGCAATAAAACTGCTTCTTAACTAGCGATAAACTAAACCTTAGCTTTTAGGTCAGTGGGAAGAAGCAGGTTCACGAATACATCAAGACTTAGGGGCAGTGGCCAAACGTGATGGCTTTTGCCAGAGCACTTTTGCAGGAGGAAGCCTGTTCATTGATTTTAAGGAGTAAGAATTGATTTGTTCTAAATACAGTTTGTAGTCCTCATGGTGAACTGTATCCTTGACAGATGTTGAGACATTAATGCCACAGCCCGGTCCTTCCAGAAGCTCCTACAGTGTGATGACTGTGTAGTCAAAAGTGACAGTGGGCTTTTAAATTACACAGAGTTGATGTTTTTGTAAGAGCTCCCATTTTTCCGAGCCCTGTAATAGGTGAGGAACATGCTAGGGATTTGACATGTCATTCAGTCCTCACAGAAACCCTGTGGGGTAGATGTTTCCATACCCCATTTTACAGATGGGGATGCTTCCAGAGGTCAAGGTCATGAAGCTGGCAGAGCTGGGGGGTGCCAGTGATGACCAGTCTGACTCCAGTATCTGACTCCAAAGTCTGTGTTCCTAATTTCTGCACTGCCGCTAGTGTGGCTGAGTGCAGTAAATTTCCCCATCTTTCTGCCTAGGGGTCTCCTACCATTGAATTCAGGGTTTTGCTGACTGTCCACAGTTTCTGGATCTGCCTGAGTGCGTGTTTGACTCAGGAAACCTGTCAATGCAGGAAACAGAACAAGGGATGCGGTAAGAACCATGTCTGCTTCTAAAGGAAGTTCATTCCTTCTGCAAAAATATTTGTAATGTCTGTTATCTCCTAGGCACTGTTCCATGACTCTGACAAGTCCCAAACTCACTAGTTGGTAGCTAAGAGGACTTGGAGAGAGAAGACTCTGATAGTAAACACAAAACCTAACATCTCTTGCCTGAAACGGACTTTCAAGATGCACGGTGGGTATAAGCAGACTGGGAAGCTTGGCTCCCTGGCTCGGTGTAGACAGCTGAGGCCAATGCAGATGCAACAAGGCTGGAGTCTGGCCCGAGGCACCTGCAGGCCCAGTTTCCTGACTCTCCTGCTTCTCACAGACTGAAACATTGCTAAGATGCTGTGAATGCTGGCTGCAGGACTGGACGGCCTTGGTCTTCCTGGTGTTCAGTCCCCGCTATTTTCTGACACAAGGTGTTCAACTGAAGTCTCCTCCTGGGTTTGGACAAGCAGAAGTCTCAGCACACAGTTCAGGCATGATGGGGCATACACTTCGGTATATGTAAGACCCCTGGTGATGGGTGCCTTCTTTTCGGGTTCATACTGCTTGTGTGTTGCTTGAACGCAGAGCTGACTTCGTTTTAGCCTCACCTTTTGTGTATCTGTCTCAGAATCAAGGGTTAAGGGATCTCCCCTACAATCCTAAAGAAAATTCTACACATGGCATGGGGAAGGAAGTATCTGGTAGTAACCCCTCTGAGTGGGGCTCTGGAAGTGGGCGTTACCAGTCCAGGCCTCTCAACAGAAATTGCCCATTTTAGACACTTGCTGTTCTACCCTGACTGCAGTTCTTGGGGCTTCGCTTATCTGCCTTGGGGAAGGTCTCACCAGCTTTAAGAATAAAGTCCCAGGATAGAAAGCCCATTGGGAAGAATTGCCATCTCTACACATCAAGAATCAAGAAGTGCACCGTGAGTGATCCATGTCAAGACCATGCAAAAATCACACTTTGACCAGTCTGCTTTTGATATACCTGGTCTGTTAAATAACTTAGGCAAACAAGCAGGTCTTTGGGAGGAACAGGAAAGCGGCAGTCTCAGAAAGCTGCATCCAATTTCAGAGCCCTCAGATGAGGCAGCAGCGGCTACCAAAGGCAGAAGCAGCAGGCTGGGGGGGGGGGGGGGCTTTCCTGTGCAGGAAAAGAGAATTTATGAGGAATGCGTGTTAAAAATAACTCTTTACTCCTACATTAGTCGGGCAAAAGTTAGAAAGCTGGATCATGCCGGGGCCGGATGGGGCTACGTCTGCAGGCACTTTCACGTGTTGTTGGTGGGAGGCAGCCTTGCTCAGCTGTTCTGGCGAGTAAGCAGCACTGTTTGTTATTTGCGGTGAGGGGGGTGAGGGGAGCTGGGGAGAGTCTGGGAGAAGGGGCAGGCAAAATGTGGTGGATGCGCTTTGGTATCACGAGGCAGTGAGAAGCCACAGATTGATGCGCCATGGATGGAGCTTCAAAACCACGGAGTAGAAAAAGTAAGACACAAAATGAAAAGAACAGCACATTTTACAAGAAAGCATGCAAACAAAATGATACACGTTAAACACATCAGCTTGTTTGGCTAACGTATGAGAGGAGGACAGGGAAATAAACTAGAACGAGAGAGGAGCAAAAAGAAATGTGAAAGAATAGCTTGGGGGGTGGGTACCGGTGCTAGGGCATTTCCCAATGGAAAAACTTCCGGGCGTGTGCCCCCGCCCACCCCCTGAGGTGCTGGTAAATGTTTAACAAATGACTCTCCAAGGGAAACATCAATTCTGTTTCGGGGTGACTGCTGATCTCCAAGGTGAGTACACTGCCGTGGCTGCTTGCCGGCTTGCTGTGGGACCTGCCGAGGTTTTGGAGATGCATACTGCGCTCACTGCGTCTGCTCCGTGCAGTGTGCAATTTCCTTCACTACTCCCTTGAGAGTGTCAGTAAGCTGAGAACCCGACAGTAGCTTTTTGAAAGCCCAAATACATAGGAGCAAGATAAGGCAGAACTTCAGTAGAGTGTGAATCTACTTGCCTGTACCCTGCATCCTTTAGATGGTTCACGGAACATCACCACCACCCAGCTGACATCTGCTCCCTTTTTAGCTTCTTAGAAAATGCTAGTTATGTTCCCATCTCCTCAATTATCATTGACCAAAT